TGAAAAGAGTAATATTTTTGTGGAAATCCAGATAGATTTTTCAGATTCTTTGAATGGAAATTCAAGAGAACAGCATTTACTGTATATAAAATGCATTTTATGCATCTTAAAAGAATTTTCGTATGTTAGTATGGAGCCCCCTAAAGGGACCTTTGCAAAAATTAAAATATACACGCGATACTTTATCATGAGCACGTAAAAGTCAGTATATTTTTATATACCGTATGTATGTATATTTGTTTATATATGAACACATTTTACATTTAGTCTTATTTAATTTTGGATTGGACAGGCAGACAGGGTCGTCGGCAAACCAGCAGAACTCAAAATTCCCGGCGCAGACCGGCCGCCCGCTCACAAACGGACTTGTTTGATGACAGCCAGGGGAATAATTATGAGGTTTGAGTTATGCTACTTTAGAGAAATACCATGCTTCATTATTGCGTGCTTCCTCTTCTTTGATATTTTTCATTGTTTTATAAGGCTCTCTTAGCGTTCGAGGAGCAACAAGGTGCTGTAGTATCCAAGAACACTCTGACTAAGGCCGAGATCGAACGGCTGCCCATAAAAACCTACGATCCCGCACACAGCGCAGGAAAGACAGAGTAAGTCACAGAGCAGGACGCCACAAATTAGATTTCCCATAATGCAATATTGTAATCATACTCTCTTTGCAGTTGCCAGATCTGTTTCAGCGAGTACAAGGCGGGTGAACGACTCAGGATTCTTCCATGTCTCCATGATTACCACGTGAAATGCATCGACCGCTGGCTAAAGGTCTGGCTCGCTTTAACGACACAATCCCATAATTCATTTCAAAGTCATATTTTGCTAATAATTTTTCCTATTTTCTTACAGGAAAACGCCACCTGTCCCATCTGCAGAGCGGATATATCAGATATCAGTGGTGGTTTTTCTTGAGTGCGCACAACTTCAGGACTCGGTATCTACCTCACAGCTGGTCATGTGACTCCGTTTGTCTTTTAGTCTTATTTAAGTGTTATTTAACGCTTTTTAAATGAGTATTATTTTCTGGTGTTTGAACCAGCATAAGGCACCGCCAAGCAACTGATTTATTAGAAAGATCCTTCTAAAACATAACAGATATGAAAATCACACCAGTGGCAACAAATCGACACTGTTAGCAATAGCGAAACTTACATTTGTTATGCTCTTCAAATAAAATAAATTTCTATAAATTTTTGCCTGTTTTTATTGTAACAGTGGTATTTTTTGTAATGTAATTGGGGTGAATAAATTATACATGTTGCTATTACAGTCATACTATTGCTATTCTGTTGTTTATGTAAATGACAGGCACAAGCGTAGCAAGAGATTTTATTCACTCCATTTTGTAATATCGCTTCTTCAAAGTTCTTTACTTCCGGAGGTAATACAGTGCTTCGAGCTCTTTCACCACAAATTCTCCTCGGCTGATGAGCTCTTTGATCTTGTCTGGGTCTCGCACATCTTTATTCTTGGCAAACGCGGCCCTCAGTCTATCTCTGAAATAGTCGGCTCCTTTCGGATACCCCCATCCAAGAAACAGCAACTTCAAGCAGAAGAATCATAAGACAGGATTATGACTTTCTACTGCCTGGAGTCACAGATGTTTGCAGGCAGTAGAAATACTTTAATGTTTCTTTTCTTAATATAAAGGAAGGCTTTGACTAGACCGGGGCTAGTTGTCACACTTTACCACAATTAAATCATTTGAGTCTATAGATATTTTGGAGGGCATTCTGTGTATATAGACAAAAGTTGTTTGGCTGACAAACAATTTTGACAAACAGTCAAAATTAAACAAAAAAATTAAATTAAAGTCAAAATTGGTTTAATGACTCGTGAATGTAAATACACAATTATGGCCTAAGACACGAAACGAGCGGTTTGTGTGAGAAAACGAACAGTATTTATATAACTTTTCCTCCTGTTAACAGCTATGTCGAACTGATCTGAATCACATGTCCAATCGAACTGAACCGTGTCCAACGTTACGCCCGAAGTGATCTCTCGTGCATCTACATCACGCATTGTTTACACAGAGATTTCGGAAGTTTTACCTTTCACTAAACATATTTGGATATGTCGAAATCGTCTTCCATTGCGATTTCCCGTATATCTTAATATGATTAGTGAAAGGTAAAACTTCCAAAATCTCAGTGTAAACAATGCGTGACATAGACGCGCGAGAGATCACTTCCGGCGAAACGTTAGACAATGGACACGGTTCAGTTCGGTTCAGTTGGACATCTGATTCAGATCAGTTAGACATAGCTGTTAATAAGAGGAAAAAATATGGAAGTAAAATAATGTCAAATGTTTTTGAAACAAAATGAATGTTGAATTGCACCAATTGAAAAAAAGCTTTGTGTTAAAGGGATAGTTCACTTTGAAATTAATTTTTGATATGTTTTAGCTTACCTCAAGGGGATCCAAGATGTAGGTGTCTTTGTTTCCACAGCATTTTCAATTTTGACATTTTTTGGTCAAACCGTTGTTGTCTGTCAGTCATACACTGGAGGTGAAGGGGGTCCTCAATCGGTTCACCTCAAAGAGCATGCACAGAGAAGTCAAAATTAAACATGATTTAATGACTCGTACATGTAAGTACACATTGATGGCCTAAGACACGAAACGAGCGGTTTGTGTGAGAAAACTAACAGTATTTATATCGTTTTTACCTCTTGTAATCATAGCCATGATAAAATGATCTGACGGCACGGGCACTTCGGTCTGCGCATGCGCTGGAAATTGCGCGCCTACGTCACTCTTTGGATATACAGAGAATTCGGAAGTTTTACCTTTCACTAAACATATTTAGATATACGGAAAACTGCAATGGAAGACGATTTCTGTATATCTAAATATGTTTAGTAAAAGGTAAAACTTCTGAAATCTCCGTGTAAATATTGAGTGACATCACACGCATGCGATCACGTCCGGCTTAACATTGAACTGATTCAGTTCAGTTCAGTTGGACATTGAACAACTGATTCAGATCACTTGGATTACACGAGGTAAAAACGATATAAATACTGTTCGTTTTCTCACAAAAACCCCTCATTTCTTGTCTTAGGCAATCAATGTTTACTTAGATTTACGAGTCATTAAATCATGTTTAATTTTGACTTCTCTGTGCATGCTTTTTGGTGGACCCCCTTTGCCTCCAGTGTATGACTGATAGACAACAACTGTTTGACTGAAAAATGTCAAAATTGAAAATACTGTGGAAACAAAGACACCTACATATTGGATGCCCTTGAGGTAAGCTAAAACATATCAAAAATTAATTTCAAAGTGAACTATCCCTTCAACCATGCTTGCATTTATATCCATTGTATTTTTAAGGAATGCATTTTTATGGACTGAAATTCAACATGGTTGAATATTTAAGCTGTGAATGTTTCATTTAAAAACATTTCAAACACATTTTCATGATTAAAAATTCAATAATCCATATTCACCTTTCATATTTCACTTCCAAAAATTTCAAACTGTTTAAAAATACAACCTATAATATTCAACAGGCAATTTTCGGGTCCATTTTATTTCGCCTTGAAAATTTGCTTCCACAAATTCAGTGGTTCAAATTCAAGAGTAAATTCAACAGTGATGTCCAGGAACTGCGGGAAAAGCAATAGATTACCGAGCATACTCTCCATCTACTGTTAGTCAGCTTTACCAGCAGGGGTGGAAGCGCGTGTTGAAACATAACAACAGGAGAGGCCTTCACAAAACTGCTGAAATCACAAGCATTGAAATCAGAGAAACTCAAAATTCCAACCTGAAAAAAACAACAGGTGTACCCCTGTCGTTTTTTTTTTTTTTGGGCGAAAAATTAAGTTTCTCCAATCTTCTCAAAACTCTGGATTATGATAGAGGGCCACGAGACTTTGACCTGAGTGCAAAAATGGAGGCTCTAGACCCTTCCAGAGCTGAGATATCGAAATTCTAAATTTCGACCCGAAAAAAAAACGACAGTGTTACCCCTTTCGTTTTTTTTCATTTTTGGGCGAAAAATTAAGTTTCTCCAATCTTCTCAAAACTCTGGATTATGATAGAGGGCCACGAGACTTTGACCTGAGTGCAAAAATGGAGGCTCTAGACCCTTCCAGAGCTGAGATATCAAAATTCAAAATTTCGACCCGAAAAAAAAACGACAGTGTTACCCCTTTCGTTTTTTTTCATTTTTGGGCGAAAAATTAAGTTTCTCCAATCTTCTCAAAACTCTGGATTATGATAGAGGGCCACGAGACTTTGACCTGAGTGCAAAAATGGAGGCTCTAGACCCTTCCAGAGCTGAGATATCGAAATTCAAAATTTCGACCCGAAAAAAAAACGACAGTGTTACCCCTTTCGTTTTTTTTCATTTTTGGGCGAAAAATTAAGTTTCTCCAATCTTCTCAAAACTCTGGATTATGATAGAGGGCCACGAGACTTTGACCTGAGTGCAAAAATGGAGGCTCTAGACCCTTCCAGAGCTGAGATATCAAATTCAAAATTTCGACCCGAAAAAAAAAACGACAGTGTTACCCCTTTCGTTTTTTTTTCATTTTTGGGCGAAAAATTAAGTTTCTCCAATCTTCTCAAAACTCTGGATTATGATAGAGGGCCACGAGACTTTGACCTGAGTGCAAAAATGGAGGCTCTAGACCCTTCCAGAGCTGAGATATCGAAATTCAAAATTTCGACCCGAAAAAAAAACGACAGTGTTACCCCTTTCGTTTTTTTTCATTTTTGGGCGAAAAATTAAGTTTCTCCAATCTTCTCAAAACTCTGGATTATGATAGAGGGCAACGAAACTTTGACCTGAGTGCAAAAATGGAGGCTCTAGACCCTTCCAGAGCTGAGATATCGAAATTCAAAATTTCGACCCGAAAAAAAAACGACAGTGTTACCCCTTTCGTTTTTTTTCATTTTTGGGCGAAAAATTAAGTTTCTCCAATCTTCTCAAAACTCTGGATTATGATAGAGGGCTGTGAGACTTTGACCTGAGTGCAAAAATGGAGGCTCTAGACCCTTCCAGAGCTGAGATATCGAAATTCAAAATTTCGACCCGAAAAAAAAACGACAGTGTTACCCCTTTCGTTTTTTTTCATTTTTGGGCGAAAAATTAAGTTTCTCCAATCTTCTCAAAACTCTGGATTATGATAGAGGGCTGTGAGACTTTGACCTGAGTGCAAAAATGGAGGCTCTAGACCCTTCCAGAGCTGAGATATCGAAATTCAAAATTTCGACCCGAAAAAAAAACGACAGTGTTACCCCTTTCGTTTTTTTTCATTTTTGGGCGAAAAATTAAGTTTCTCCAATCTTCTCAAAACTCTGGATTATGATAGAGGGCTGTGAGACTTTGACCTGAGTGCAAAAATGGAGGCTCTAGACCCTTCCAGAGCTGAGATATCGAAATTCAAAATTTCGACCCGAAAAAAAAACGACAGTGTTACCCCTTTCGTTTTTTTTCATTTTTGGGCGAAAAATTAAGTTTCTCCAATCTTCTCAAAACTCTGGATTATGATAGAGGGCTGTGAGACTTTGACCTGAGTGCAAAAATGGAGGCTCTAGACCCTTCCAGAGCTGAGATATCGAAATTCAAAATTTCGACCCGAAAAAAAAACGACAGTGTTACCCCTTTCGTTTTTTTTCATTTTTGGGCGAAAAATTAAGTTTCTCCAATCTTCTCAAAACTCTGGATTATGATAGAGGGCTGTGAGACTTTGACCTGAGTGCAAAAATGGAGGCTCTAGACCCTTCCAGAGCTGAGATATCGAAATTCAAAATTTCGACCCGAAAAAAAAACGACAGTGTTACCCCTTTCGTTTTTTTTCATTTTTGGGCGAAAAATTAAGTTTCTCCAATCTTCTCAAAACTCTGGATTATGATAGAGGGCTGTGAGACTTTGACCTGAGTGCAAAAATGGAGGCTCTAGACCCTTCCAGAGCTGAGATATCGAAATTCAAAATTTCGACCCGAAAAAAAAACGACAGTGTTACCCCTTTCGTTTTTTTTCATTTTTGGGCGAAAAATTAAGTTTCTCCAATCTTCTCAAAACTCTGGATTATGATAGAGGGCTGTGAGACTTTGACCTGAGTGCAAAAATGGAGGCTCTAGACCCTTCCAGAGCTGAGATATCGAAATTCAAAATTTCGACCCGAAAAAAAAACGACAGTGTTACCCCTTTCGTTTTTTTTCATTTTTG